ATGGATTTCGGGCTTGGGGCTCGTGTCTTAGAGGGTCCATGCACAATACTCACAATACCATTCTGGAATTTGGCACCAAACGACCATCCTTGCAACGGTTTAGGGTACCTACTTCCATAATGGCGGTATATATGCACCCTCTTGATGTAGCACAAGGAGTAGGGATGAAGACTTAGCGCGGGGGGTTTAGAGTTGAGCAGCCTCCCAAGGAAGCCAGTCGTAGCGCTTTCGTTGCTCCTTTGACAAATACCGACGCGTTTCGGGCTTGAGGGTTTGGGATGAAGGCTGAGGGTTAAAGAGCTTATCAGCTCATCGGTTCAGGGAGTAGGGTTTCGGATAAAAAGTCTCCACTTCTATGATCACAGGCAGCAGTCGGTGAGAAGCTATGGCACACTTTGGCGACGTCAGAACTTAATATAGGAGTCAAGAGACCCTGGGCCATATTGGGGTTCTTAGTATGAGCCCTGATATATTGGGGTCACAGGGCCTGGGGCTTCTTCATCAGGTTCCTACATTACCTAGAAGGTAGGTCATGCTGGCAATGATTAGAAAGGCACAGGCTACAGTACAGGTGTCAAGAGGTGAACGCCTAAGTTTGTCCTCCACTTCTACGATTCTATGCGAACCATCTCTGAAGCATCAAACTAATGCTGGCTGAGTCGCAAGGCTGCTCAACCGCAAATGTTCATGACCATTCAGCCCTAATCACTGGTTTGGGTGTTTTGCTTACGCTTCTTCTTGGGACGGACAACTGTTCCAAACTTCATGATCGAGCTGCTATCTGATTCATATAGCATCAAGCAACAGAGCAACAGTGCATGCGGTGCCTATCATTTTGAAGTGCGAGATCTCTCTTCGAAACAGGCGCGAACTGACAGTGAAGCCCCTGACCCCAAACCCCATGAACTGAACTCAGCCAAGCCCTGAACCAAAAAGCCGCCCCATCCCTCAACGCTGAAGCTTACTCGAAGCCGCGCCGGCCTACGCACCACTACATGTGTGCGGAGTTTGGAAAGTTGGCAGTCCAGTCTCTTTTGGTGCTTCAGTTGCGTATGCTTCTGTGTTGTACGGACGACGAAGTCAATTAAGTCATCCTCCCAAGCCTCTCAGAGCTCCAGAAACACCCGGCAAATCCGGAGAGCTTGCTGGGCTTAGGGTTGATCTCTGAAGCGCAACCCTTAATTCCGACAAATGTGGGGGGCCTATGAGACCCCCGCCCCTCCAAGAAGGAGGAACCTACCGTACACAAGTCCGACAACAATATCTGAGTTCCAGAAGCATTAACCCGTACGTGAAATGCCACTAACAACAACGCGAAATCCGCTTACGTCCTGACTTTAAGAGACCCACTAGCGTAAAGTGACAAACCCTTTACACGCTGAAACAACGGCAATAACCCTCTGATGCGTAATCCCCAAACCAAAACCCCTCTTGCAGTGCCTCAGTCTCGCCCCGTCGTCGGAAGGCCTGTGTTGCATACGTACTAGTTGTGCAAGATGCATGGATACCGAGCTTTGCGTGGCAGCGTCAGGGTTTGGTGTTTGGTTACATTAAGGGTTCGCTCTATACATAGATATAGGGTCTTGCATCAGGAACTACAGGGGTAGGGTTGAAAGTCTGCTGGGATTCAAGGTTTCTGTTGAAAGCTAGCTCATTGGCTTATAATCAGGGACTAGAAGCTGGTGCTCTGCGCCCTGGGCCTTGCGACTTTCTTCTTGGGCTTGGAGCCTGCTTGTACATTCTTCAACCGTGCTTGAACTACATCGGCGAAACATATGCCCAGAAGCTACTGCGACCTAGCCGACTCTCCGGTGTACAGGAGGGTAGCATTATGAATCAGACTGCAATCATGTGTCACTGCGCAGTTCTGCTTGACTTCGGAGAGATCTTGGGCGGCAAAACATGTGCGCATGGGGTGCGAAAAGCAGGGAGTCTCGGCTTCAGAGCCGCTTGTGGCACCATCGGAGCCTGAGCCATCAACGACATACTTCACTGAGTGTTTATGAAGTTCACGCAAGGAATCTTCACTCCCTGTCTTCTCTAAGCTCCGAATGCTAGGTTTGGGTTATGCATCTGCTTGCTTGGAGGAGCGTTATGCTCATACAAACAGTCGAGATTCTGCATTGTCGCATTAGCCATCTATTGCCAAACCCGCCAGTTTGGACCACGACATCCCACCTTTAAAATTCCCTGTAAATGTGCACCGAGAATCTAGCAGGCTGAACCGAAAGATTCCCGGCTTTCCCTTCAGGCGAAGAAAGTTGCCTGCACCGCCATGTTGCAGTTCTTCTCCATGCCAACCTGGAGCAGCACGAGGTTTCCCATCGTCGGCCAAGTGCTCACACGGCCAGGGGAAGATTAAGACAGGGAAGATTAAGACATGTAGTCGGCGGAGGATATGCTGCCATCCATAAGACTGCCACGACATCTAACATTTACAGCTCTTTGTCTTACCCCAAGTAGCCCTGCTTCAGACACGAAGGTCTCTCCCTCACCGGCTCTGTGCGAGCCAAAAAGCGTGGCCCGTGCTCCGAAATCATAAACTCTTTGCCCGCAAGGTGAGAGATTGAGCAATGAAGTTCGGCTGGCTTTTATCAAGTCTCCTGTGGTGTATGAGAAAACAACCTCAGTGCAAACGGTCTTCAAACGGATCCGGAACCCTAAATCCTGAACCCTACCTAGATGCCCCTACTACCCGCTATTCTGCCCCAAATACCCTCAAATAAGGACCATAAGTGCGTCATTGAAGAATACAAACCTAAATCATGAACCCCAAACCCTACGCCCGGAACCCTAAACCCTGAATCATGAACCCCAAACGCCGCTATGCCCCGAGCGAAGGCCTCAGCTGAGATCATCACGCCGAGGTCGAGAATCTGGCTGCTCGTGGGTCTTAATTACAGCAAGACCCAAACAAAGCACTTGAACATCAACTCTTAGCGGGTTTCGGGTTCAGGGTTTAGGGTTAAAGAGTATAACCTTAAAGGTGATATGAAACCCTACAAGTCAAGGGGCGGGTCAGTTTTTAGGCGCTCTTGTGGGCCCTCAGAACGGTGCTTCTGGAGACGGTGTTGCGCAAGGGTCGTACAACTGTATAACTACAAAGAAGGGAAGAGACATCTACAAGCAAAGGCTGCAAACCCTAACATGTCAGGGCAGGCCTACGCATGATAGCTTACTATGGTCACGAAGCTAAAATGGGACCCAGCTTCAGAACAAACTCTATACATGTTACTTGGAAAGTTGAGAGCCTGATTCCCTGAACATCAAAAAAGCAGGCTGGGCCTTTTGTATTTTTGTGCTAGACCGACTAAGACCAGTCCGGATCAGAGCGCCAACAGTCAAGCCAGCCAGCAATCCCACAGCTAACCCAGGAGGAACACGAAAGCCGCCCTCTCAAGGCTCTAGATCGGCTCCCAGGTTCGCCTCTAAAGGTTGTACAGTAAGCATCATTAGATTTAGGATTTTGTCTGTGCGCCCCAGACTGAATCGCTTAATCTCTGGATCTGTCTTCGATGTCATCGGAAGACGCTGCTGTTCTGTAGGCGCTTCAAGAAAGCAGGATGTGCGAGCTTCCTAAGGTATGACTTGATGGAACGTAGGAGCCTGATCAAGAAACCCTGGTTCTATAACCCCAGCATATTAGGTTCCATACCAAGAACCCTAATAAAAGCCCAATGTTTCTCCATCAGGCTCCTAGATCATTAGGATTAATTACAAGAATTAGTCTTATATGATCATGACTATATTAAGTACTAGTATGGCCTGACCCAGCTCGGGATCGAAGACTGGATGCATAATCTTACGGTCTAGCATTAAAGGGTCACAGTAATGGGCTTGGCTGTAGGGTTTAGGAGTTTATGGTTTAGGGTTTAGGGGCTTGGAGTTCAAGGTTCAGGGCTTAGTCCATGGCTTTGAAGAGGAGTCCGAAAGCCTACATGCTGGATCCGTGCATCATCATTGAACACGTTCACCCAAGCCCGAAACCCCAAAGCCCAAAACATCACGAACAAAAACACCAAATAAAGAAGTAAAGCAAGTAAAGCTGAGAAAAACAACCAAAATAACATGAACACGTCAAAGCCCCCCCCCCCTCCCCCCCCAAAAAAAAAACAAACACAAAAGACCGTCAACCCAAGATTAGTTTAGCAAAGCCAGCTTCCACCTTGAGCTTGCAGGGTGCAGGGTCTTTCCGCCGCGCCTTCGTTACTGTAAGGGTTCCTGGAAAGGTACTAAAAGGGTTACTATTCTTAAGAGGCATTATAAGGGTTATGATAACGACATCGATTCGGTATTGGGCACAAAGGCTGTGTTCGAAATTGGGGTCTGAACAATGAGAATGTGGCTTGTACTACATAAATATGCGCCGGAAGCTTGAGGAGTGGTACTACTATTTCGTCAGGCTTCTAGGCTAGCGGCTAGCGCCTCGTTGGTTTTGGGCTTTGCCCTGGTGTGTGGTGGTGCCGACTTGGCATGGATATCTTAAAACGAAGCTGTAAACGCAAGCACCTAATACCGATAGAATCTGAAACCGAAAAACCAACAACATTCAAATCCAAATTCCAAGCCCAAATACCTAATTCATAGCATCAAAACCTTAAAACCGAAACCAGCAAAGCCTAAACTCGAGACCCTGAACCCTGAGCCCAAGGCGATCAGCTGCATGTTGCAGCCGCGGAAGTCGCGGTGGATTAGACAGAACCGCTCCAAATACCTCTGAAATTGAAGTCGAAGACGGTTGAGGGTGTAGGCTTGGTCTGTGGGAAAGAAGCCCTGCGTCTTGATTGTGGTGTTTAAGACCGATTGGGACAGACCTGGCAGCCCTCATGCTGGAAAGTATGTCATAGGAGTCCACCCCGAAGCCAGCTCTCTCAACTGACAATTACCAACGGCTGATGCCCTAAATTTCCTAAATCCTTCGTCAGGTTGAACCTCCCCACGGTTCCCCTGCTGCCCCTATTTATAATATTGCACGATTGCAGTGGCTAAAGCGAGGGGGATGCAACATTGAAATCGAGGGCTTGCCGGCAAGCGAGTAGCGCATCATGGGATATGTCCGATGTTGCAGGTCAAGCAGGATTTTGGGCACCAGCACTATGACTATAGTTAGTGTTATGCTTATCAGTTTATCCTTATTCTATAGTTACTGTTTCCTTAGGAACATTGACACTGACAGAGCCTCTAACGGATACCTTCTCAGAAACTATCAGAAACTGTTCCCAAAGTACTCTTCCTTGGAATACAGCTGTGGAGCCTCTGACATGCATGAAGTAGGAAGCTATGCTCTTCATGTAAGGTTCCACATCCTTGGATCGCAGCCCCAGCCCCAAACAGCCTAAACCCCTAGACCCTAACATCCTAGACCCTAAGCCCTAAGCTGCCCCCGAGAAGAACACAATCAAAGACTCTTCAAGCCCTGCACCCCACCCGAACTGTTCTTGCAGCCCAAAGCCTTGACTCCAAAACCCTAAAGCCCCAAACCTTAAACCCAAAAAGCTCTTGGAAGGAAGGATCGAGCCAGGGTACTCCAAAGCCATAATGCACTGCAGGATGACCTCGGGTTTACGGCTTAGGGTTTGGGGGTCTAAGATTCAGGGCCTACTATTTATCGAAAGTAGATGAGTTTCCTTGCAGATGTGGCATCTTCCACCCAGCCTATGTGAGGTGTAGGCCTTTAGCTAGTCCTTATCAAACAACAGACACAGCCAAGTCCAAGTGTCGAGGGAGCGTTCTACTTCAGAGCCTTGCTCCGGCAAGAAGTCTGACATGCAGGGCTCGGGGTTTAGAGTCTTCCATCTGCCGTTCAACACTGTTTGCAGCGAAGGTAGGCCACTCGGTCTCTGTTAAGTGTGACAACCTGACACCGCCAAAATCCCAGTGACCTTTACGCAACCTTAACCGTGAACCCGAAACCCCTAAACCCCAGAGGTGCAACCCAACGCTCGACCTCCGCAAACAACAAGAAACATATCCCCCTAAAGCCCGACCCTACTTGAAGCCAAAACGCTAACACTACAAGGGCCTTAATACGCCTTAGTATTAGTGATTAGAACGGATTTGGGGGGCGCATAATATAGCGAAACCGCAAGAAACGAAACCGGAGCCCCCGCGTCGTGCTTCTCCATTTGGGAGAGGCAAGGCGGATCGTGCGCTTTTGCTGGACGATATTCTCGATCCTGCGGGTATACGCTGTTCCGATCAGGGTTTGGGGTTCATTTATCAGGAGGTGGGACTTGTGGCCATGATTGTCCAGCATGTGGCGAACTGTGATCTCCATGCATAGCTTCAAGACTCGATACCGTAGAACACTTCTGTCGTCAAGCAACCTGGTGGTTCAGGGTTTAGCGGTTTAGGGTTTGGGGGTTTAGCTTGAAAAGGCATAGGGATGCTGGCTAAGGATCCATGGCGGTCTGAAGCGTCTCGCCGCGGGCAAGCTCCATCACGACCTCAAGTTCACGGTTTTAGCTGTTTGCGAAACAAGCATGCAGTCCGTCAAAGTAAGCTGCACGGGACAAACTGGCATGATGAAACATATTGCAAGCAAAGTGAAACGAAAGGTCTGCGACTGAATGTGCTTACATATATGGCGTGTCTGGGCAAATTGATATTATCAATGTACATGTCTAGGTATGTCCGTCTGTCGCCGTCTGTCTGTGTGTCTGTCTGCCTGTCAGTCTCTGTCCGTGTCTTCTTTCTGTGTGTCTGTCTCTGTTTGTCTGCCTGTCTGTCTGTCTGTCGGTCGGTCTGTCTGCCTGCCTGCGTGCCTGTTGTACGTACGTATCTAGTACGTATCTAGTATGTATGTATGTATGTATGTATGTATGTATGTAATGTAATGTAATGTAATGTAATGTAATGTAATGTACTATGTATCTATGTATGTAATACAATGCAATGCAATGTAGTGTAGTGTAATGTGATGTAATGTAATGTAGTGTAATGGAACGTCATGTATGTATGTGTTCGACTCTGAAGTTGTTTGTGCGAGTATGTGGGCCCAACTGGGAGGGGAGGGGGCCGGCTTCCTTAGCTCCAAGACGTAGCAGAATCCGACGCCAACTTCATCACGTCAGACTAAGTAGGTTAGAGTTTTTCGGTAAAGGAAACGCTTTCACACTCGTGGTTTTGGAGTAAGGACTCTATACTACATAGCCTGAAGCCGTTCTATCTCTCAGTCTCTCTCTCCATCTCTCTCTCCCTCTCTCTCTCTCTCCTGTCTCGCTCTCTCTGTCTCTCTATCTGTGTCTCTCGCTGCTCCTAAGCATTCAGTGCGACACACCCTACTAGTAGAACTCAAAGAGGCCTAGTAGACCGGAGCTCAAACTTCCGACCCTATCAACTGTCCCGAAAAAGCATGGCGTCCATGTGTGAAACTTTAGGCTTTGGCGCCATTCGGGTTGTTGAAGACCCTACAAAATGATTGATGTTGCGACAGAGTAAACGCTTTTGTCTTATTGGTACTGTTAGAAACCTTATTGTCCGGTCTTGTGTATATTCTGACCAGTATGCGTGCCAGTAGCAGCACGCACCACGATGAAGGAATAGCAGCAACAAGTATTTTGCACCATGAGTAGTACATCACTCTTGCTCTATGAATTATTGCTTGCCCTTTTTTTTTTCTGGCTTTGTCGCTGGTGTGCGGCTGAGACCCAAGACGTAAGGCTTCCCAGGCAAAATGATGCCTGCAGCTAGGACTGGAAGGCCCCAGTTAGCTGGCGTTGCGGGCTTAAGGTAACTTATTCCAGCTTCATTCTTATTTTTGAACTTATTATTCTTACCATTCTTCATATATTATATTTAATATTGGTTAAAGGTTTAGAGATTTGGGGTTTGGGTTTCGCGTTGATGGTTTTGGGTTTCACAGTCTTTAGGTTTCGTGGCTCGTAATAACCCGAAAATCTGGGATCGCTGTTACACGGGTGGTTCTCTTAATTAGGGTCCCTCCTGGGTCCCTCTTATAAGGGTGCCGTACTATTTTGGGGACCGAAAACGGGACGCCAGTTTGGAGGACTACCCACCTACCTAAACCCTTTGATGCAACTGCTGTCGTTTCGAGTGAGACAGTTTCTTGTTGGTTTGGGCCCTTTGATAAGACAACAAGGTAGTCAGCAACATGCAGTTAGGATCAACTGTTGAGGGTCTAGGAATGGCTATGCAGCACCGTTGAGGGTCTAGGAACGGCTACGCGGCTATGTGGCCGAACCTAACTGTGGTGCAGGCTGTGCCCTGGAGGCCCAGGCACCCAAGTAGTCAGGTTTGAGGCCCCAAATACCGTACTCTGAGAGGCTTCTGGTACCCTAAAACCTAAAACCATGATATTTGTTGCTCTACACAGCAAGCTGCGGGTTGGCAGGCCGACCACCTAATTGTCCTTGCACCTGCAGAGAGAGAGAGAGAGAGCAAGCAAGAGAGCGAGAGATAGAGCGAGATAGGAAAATATACAGAGAGAGAGGTACATGTCCTAATCGTTTGGGGTCGTCGCAAAGACAGACAATCCAACTTGCACCCCCCACACCCCGGCTTCGGTCGTTACTCGTTGAGTTTAGGTTATGGGTTTACCGCGGACGCCCTCAACAGAAAACAAAAGGAGGAATGTGCCACCTTTCTCAATCAACCCTAAACCCTAACTAGCTGAACTTTGCAGGTGAGGGCACGGTTCTTGGACCAGTCAAACTTCGGGGACTCGTATTCCTTCCGGCGCTCCTGTGGCCAGGGCTTAGGGGTTCAGGCGTGTGGGAGTTTAAGGGTTTCGGATTTTTTGAAGTCTGTGATTGGGTCTAGCGTGCTTGGTTTTATGGCTTATGGTTCAATTGAGGTTTACATTTTGCTTCAAGTGTGATTGGGTTTACGGTTTAGGGTTTGTTTGTTCAAGTGTGATTGAGTTTAGGGTTTAGGTGGCGCAGGAACTGATGGATGCGCAACCCTAGTTGCAAGATCTTACAAGGATCTGTAGAGGGTTACGAGGCTGTATGAGGTTGTATATAATGGCTACAAGCATTCAGTGCTTCAGGGTTTATGTCTTGTAGGGTTTACGGCTTATGGGTTGTAGGGCTAAGGCCTTCGGGGCTTTAGAGAAGGATCCTGAACTGACCATCCGACTGTCTTCGACGAGGGCTCTAGGGTTTAGGGCTTAGGGCTTTAGGGTTTTAGGGCTCAGGGAAAATGAAAACCACACTGCCCCTGCTGCTGCCTTTCAACCGATGCTGGTACTGGCTCCTGCCAAGTCCGAAACGACCCGAAAAATCTGAGACACCCGAACCCCAATACACGGGTCAGAAGAATTAGTGTCACGTAGTGCTTGTCCGTTGTCCCGACATGAAACTATACTATCTGAGTATTACGGCCCCCTGTACTACATTACATGTCCCGACTTATAGTGGCTCATCGCTTGCCTACATCGTTTCGTCGAGTCTTTGGGCCCTGTGTGTTACCCTACGGCCTGTAACATCAAATCGTGAAATCTCGAATCCGGCAGCCGGGAAACAAACTCTGCAAAGCCAAGGGCAGGCTCTTAGGGTTTAGGGTTTAGGGTTTAGGGTTTAGGGGATGAGATGAAGCCCCGGTCTTGGTGAAAGTGTCAGCTGTTGTAATGCTGACAGTCGAAGAGGCTGACGATCATAATGCCGACGCTAAAAGGGTTATCATGAACCTACAAGCTTTCTTAATTGCAAGTCTATAGCTACAATAAGCTCGAAGCCTGCTGTCACGGTGCATCACAATAATCACAATAGTACTCAACACGACCGAAAAACAGCAAAACCCAAAATGTTTAACCTTGAACCCCAAACCCTCGAATGTACATATGTACTCAATATATATATATATATATATATATGCGCAAACACATTTTCTCACTATGTAAATATGTATATGTGCATATATATATATATGTATATAACCTGTATAATCTGTATGTAATGCGAGGCCCTCAGCCCCAAACTGTGTGTCGTGACAGCAACACCCGTCGCCCAACCTCGAAGTCACTCGGACCAAGATCCGTGAAGCCCGTATGGTCTTCAAGGTACCTCTCCGGCTGCGTATAGGGGGGTTAGGGCTTTGCCTTGAAGGGTAAAAGGACCCTTATAATGGCTTAGGCGCGAGGGTTCAAGGTACCTTCCGTCTGCTTACGATTTTTAGGGCTGTTTGGTTGGCGGTTAGGGTCTATAGGGATTAAGGTGTTGGGGTTCAAGGTAGCTTCCGGCGGATTAGCGGAAAAGTGTTTTGCTGGGTTTAAGCTTAGCGCTGACGCTGTGTCTTTGCTTCGATCAGCATTTTCTGAAGTTCAAGTCTCCCAGATTCTAGATACCATTCGGCCGTTGGGGCTTCAAAGCTTCTGAAAAGGGAATCTTTGCGGGGCTTCAGTGGGCTTTGTGCGGGCCCTGGTCTCCGGCTTTGCAAGTTTCACGATTCATTCAGGGCTGATCCGGGGAAAGACCGGTGCTGTTTGGATGCCTTTTTGGTTCAGGACTGCTCGGGGCACTTGGAAAAAAAGAACCACGAGGAATCCATAAACCCACAGGGCCTGAACCCCAATATAAGGGTCGATAGTTTGTAATATTACGGCCCCTTATATTACCAAGGCTCCCAGAGCCCAAAAACCAGAATCGCTGATCTCTCATCCGTGGCCTGGCGAAGAGACTGGCATGCGACTCGGAGTAGCGGGGATCGGAATTGTTGTGGAGTCGTTGTAGCGACCACTGACCTCCAGCAGAATCTTCTCTGTCTGTCTAGGGCCTAGGGCACACTCGACCCTTGTAAAAGGAGTTTCGCGCAAATTCCAAACACGCTTAAGCTCTAAACCCCAAGCCCCTGCTGAGCCGGGGAACCTATCTCAGAAGGGCTTTCGGACTTGTACAAGTCTGCATTTGATGATGAAGTAGGGGTCAGTGTGTAGAGTTTAGGGGATCGGGTTCTGGGTGGGCTTCAGGGTTCAGAGGGTCTTTGGATTCAGTTTTCAGGTGTAGTTTTAAGGGCTTAAGTTTATGGGACATATTTCTGATCCCATGCTAGACCACATAAATTGCCCAGTGCTAAGCCCTGGATGAATACAGTCTAAACCCCACATCTAGAACTCAAAAATCCTCCCCGGCAAAATCAGCGAAGAATCTAGGCAACACCTTCGCTAAGGGGTTGTTATATTGAACCCTAACCCTAAACGCTGATGAGGGTCCTCGTGACCTTCAAGGATAACTCAGAACTTCGTGGAACACTGCAACGTACTCGCAACTTGTGATGGCTCTACACGTGAGCTTAGCTTCGTCATCCAAATGCTTGATCTCGACCATAAACGCAACGAGAATCGAGATTATGGTTTGGCCCCTGCGTCAGAGTAGCCCTGATTTCAGGCTCCCAGCGAGGCTAAAGAAGCAAAATAAATGCTCGGAAGTGTCCGCCAAGAAGCTCTCTCTATGCATCGCAAACGCATGTCCTGGGTTTAGGATGTCGGGAGTGACAGTGATTTCTGACTTGGGGTTGCAGACAGCTTTGCACGTTGTAACTTCCTTCGAGTCTTCTTCAATAATACTGCAATCCTTTGTCCACGGGCAAAGGCCTGCACAAAAGCAGTACTATGCGGGGGTTGACAATGCGAGGATGCTCGGAAAGTTATTCTAACTACGTAATCCCTGGCCCCCTTACACTTCCCAGACTTCACAACATGTGGATGAGGGAACTGGGATTTGCCATTCTCCAGTCCATAACTTGAGTGAGCACATCAATAGAAAGCCGAACCTCGGAATGAGACCCTATTTTCTGAGTTTAATTCTGCCACGGTGCTCGCATGTGCTTTTGAGTGCTTCTTCAGCACCTGCAGAAGAAAACGAAACTCTGACAAACAGTGGTGCGATCGATGGTGGTGATCATGAAGCTGATCGTGATGAGGCCGCCGCTGGCTGGGTTTTCTGCACTGGCGATGATGCTGCTGCTGATGATGATGTTGATGTTGATGTTGATGTTGATGTTGATGATGATGATGATGATGATGATGGTGATGGTGATGATGTCGATGATGATGATGATGATGATGATGTTGTTGATGATGATGATGATGATGATGGTGCGTGGTGCGGGTGATGAAGAGGAGTGACGGTGATGAAGGCGATCCTGGGCTGCTGGTGATGATTCGCATTCTGCCCTTGCAAACACAGACTGTTACGATGTCGGCTCGGGATGTGGGCAGCATGTGACACCAAAGGCCTGCATAGGCTAATCAGGGATGAGTGTTTAGGGTGACATCCGAACTCTACCGGTCCCAATGTATACACTGGCCGTACTTCATGCAGTCCTTTGAAAGGGCCCAAATATGCGCTATATGGGTGCAAGGACCCTGGAGGGCTCAGACCTATGTCTGGATCCCGCAAAGTCTTCCGAAATCTGAAGTGCGCAGAAAGCTCACCCAGCAGAACCGGACTCCTTACTCCAAAACACAACACTACAGGAAGTGTTGATTCCAAGCCTTACGCAAAGAATCATGGGCTGCTTGCTCCGCAATACTTTACTGTGAGTGGATCCTTGGAATCTCAAACCCTTCCATTCACTTTTCAGGACCATATGGGCTCTATGAAAGGGGAGTTGGGGGTCCTGCTTGGGGGGAACCTTTAGAACCTAAACCCTAAACCCTGAAACCCGACACCTGAAACCTTAAAACCTACAATCTATAAACCCTACATGGGCCTTCACCGCGACCTGGCCCAGACCCCCCTTTGTATCCCAAGCCTCGGACGGCAACTAGGGCCAACTAGGGCTTCCGAAGCTTTCGGCTTAGGGTTTGGGGGTATGGGCGGGTAAAGGCTTAGGTCTCGTGAGGCCTGAGGTTTCGGTGTCAAAGGTCTTAGTGCGGGGTCAGAGTCTTAAGGTTCTTGGGTCTCAGGCTTGTGTGCAATTTCTTCGGCTGTCGTGCTTCGATGGCTTTAAGCCTGGGGGCTGCGGAGGGTAGGAGATAAAAGTCTGTCATTTGGGGTTTCAAAGGTCAACCTAGGGCGAAGCTTTTTTTGAGGGATCCTTCTGAGGAGGGGTTCTATATTGTGGTACCCATTTTCTGAATCCCAAAGCGACAGGACCCTCGACCATAAAACCCAAATACACTACTCTCGTAGTAGTGCTAATCCTATACAGATCTACATCATACTTGGAAAGCGTGTTCTGAGCGTGTTTACCACGACCGCTTCGTGGTAACCCGCGTTCCAGCTTGGAGGTTTGGTGGGCGCTTCTAAGTGGCTTAGAGAGTTGCATCCTAACACCAGATCCTTGAATCCCTAAACCATTATCAAATCCTTGTCGTCTTTTCTAGCTTATTGGAACCGTTGAAAACGACAAGCCCTAAGCCCTGAACTCTCAATCCTTAAACTCCTAAGCCGTTGCAAGTAGAGCTGTGTAGAACCCTCAGCCCTAACCCGAACCTTCATCCCTTAGCCTTTATCCCCTAAACCAAAACCCCACCGCGAGCCCTATACCCTGAACCCTTAAACAGTTGCCAGCGCCAAGAGGCTTGGAAGACGACCGCTAGGCCGCCTTCGCCCAGCTTCGTCTGCGGTCATATTCGGGAGTATAGGGTGCGTTACGGGGTTTATGGGTCTCTTTAGGCTTTAAGGTGAATCGGGCTTTTATTAGAGTTAAATCAGGCTCGGGTTTGTGGTGCGCTTGAGGAATTTAACGAGGTTTAAAAGGGTTTTATAGGCTATATTATGGAGGTCTTTATACGAGTAAATGCGGTTTGTCGTTTTTAAGGGTCTAGGGCTTGTGGCGTCGAATAAATGTGTGGTAATGAAATTGTTCAGGGATTTTGATTACCGGGTTCTGTGAAGGCTCAAAGAGGATTCGGGGCCTTGCATGTGCGGATCTTCCAATAAGGCTCTCCGGTCCCTCACACTGGAGGCGCCATCAGGATTACGATTCTTTCAGAAGGGAAGGAGATCCTAACACAAGAGGGAGCCTAGCTTAGGGCTTTGGATATCAGGGGGCTTATGCAGGAACAGGCCTTAGGGGTACTTCGCTATAAGCAGGGGCGATAGTGGGATTCTCTTGCTACTAAGTCCTCTAACCCCAACATGAAGTATTGAAGATGCGCGGCTGCGGGCTTGGGGTCCAGGGCTTCGTGTCCACACCAAGCACGTAAGGGCAAGACAGATCTCGAGAGCCCAGAGAGACCTGGGTCTGGAAGAGCCATGGTCGCGACAGACAGCAGTGGCTCCTTGAAAGCACGACGCCGTCTCCCACATAATCCTACATCATAAACCCTAAATGTGAAGACCAGCGAAGACCCTCTAGCTTCTCGTCATGACCACTTTCTCAAGCTCGCCCGGGACAGCTGCTGGTGTCTTTGAAAGACTTCAAGCATTGATCAATAGGGACCTACTAACACGCAAACCTTTGCACAACCCGGTATCCCCCCCCTCATTTCTCGCAGCCCGAAGTTCCGAAGCACGTTAGGCGTCTAAGCAATCAAGCTCAAAGGCTGATAAGCTTCGAAGTCCAGCAATATATAGAAAAATAGAACATCATCGGGGACCACACCCTCGTCGACGTAAGAGCTAATGTAGACCAGGGTGCCAAAGATCCGTACAGAACCTTGAACCCAAAAGCCTAAACCCTGAAACCCAAAATTGCTGCTATAATTTAGGAGCCGTATAATAAGTATAATCATGACAAGGAACTATGGGTAATTATTGAGGCCCCTATATTAGGTCCCTCATGAAACCTGCGGTGACTTCTTGGCGCGCCTCGTAGAGCCATCGCCCTGAGCCTGTGACGGGATCGTGGGCATCCGGCAGCTCGATCTTATCCTGGGGTTTAGGGTTTCGGGTAGATGGTTCAGAGTATCCTGGGGTTTAGGGTTTCGGGTTGAGGGTTTACGATCTGACCCTGCTGCAGAAGAGTGGTTTAGACTGGGTTCTTGCGGAATCCTTTTTCATAACCATTCTGTACTATATTGCTATTTGGTATAGATCCCTATTCTGATAACTTAGACACTATTTACTATAGATCCCTGTTATTTACCATAAGATCCCTATTCTGGTAGCTTAGACTAGCTCCTTAACAGTCCGGTAGAGAGGGCAAGAGGGGGAATAATTTAGGAACGGCAGGGGTTTTAGTGAGCTTTAGCTGAAGGTTTAGGCTTTAGGGTTTTTGAAATGTAGGATTCGGGGTTTAGGTTTAAGGGATTTCGGCCTTATTGGAGGGCTTCAGGGTTCTGGCTCAGGGTGTGGGTATTGGGTTTAGGATTTGTGTCTCGTTGATTTGCTTTGCGCAGTCTGTTCCTTCTAGGTGAACCAAACAGCCACAGATGTTCAACCCTTTACCCAGTTATATCGGAGCCTATGTCCTAAACCCTAAACCCCATGATCTGCAGCAAACATCCCGAACTCAGAGATCATCCCACCCAGCAGCCTCCGTCAGTAGACCTGTCACTGAAATCCCAAAGGTAGATCGTGTTTGGGACTTTTGGTATTGGGATTCAGGGCTTACGGGGGGTAAGGCTTGCGGATGAGAGCCATCCAGGCAAGGACTTTCGAACGTCACTAGAGCTCCAGTATTCCCGGGCCTTGCTGGGAGGAGCGGCACCTCCGGTGACACTGATGATCGGGGCAGCGATGGGGATCTCCTGTGCGAGACCGCTAGAAAGATCCCAGCCAAGATCGGCTTGGCTATTCAGCTCCCTGAAATTGGTATCCGGAGCCCTACCGAGCCCTAACGAATTACATGCAACTTGCCCCCGTTGTGGTCTGAATACCGACTGATAAGGACGAGAAAGTCTCTGTTAAGAACGTGGCGGCACCTCCTTTCATTCCTCCCACCCGAGGGTTGGCTCTTCAAGACCCCTGCAGCCCTGCACACTGAACCCTAAACCCTCTTCAAGCTTTGTCGGTTTCCGGCTTGGGCTGCCCCCACCATCGAAACCAAGCAACGTCCACCCATCCTACACACAGAACCATAAGGTATTTCTACAACAGTCTACAACTACAAATAGCACCAAGTGCATTCCTTACTGACCATCGTTATTGTGCGCGGCTATTGCTGACCGGCGAAGTCCTGAAGCACTCGGAATATGGGAATTGCGGTATGTTCGCTTTTCAGTAAGACCATCCCACAACACCCTCAGGACAACACAAGCCCAAACCCCAAATCGTACATCATATGCTACTCTTAAGAGGCTCGGCTGAAAACTGGGTTGGCGCGTACAACCTACTGAACTTACTCGCAACTGAGAGCCTCCGAGACGCACGAGGGTACATATCCAAGATCGAAGCGAACAAACCACTAGCAGAAACTGCCGACCTCTGTCTCCGCAAGCCACAATCATAATTTCCTGTCCCTAAACATGCGAGATATCTCGGGCTACAAGTACAGTAAAGGTGTAGGAAAAGCGAAGTTGAAGTTGTCGTTTTTTGCCGGAGGAACCCGAAAGAATAGCACTGGTGACTATTCCAAACACTATAGTCGGTGCAGGGCCCTTCCCCAGCTTTGCCGAACCTGGGGCTGATCAATAGCCGTCTTCGCCGCCGGCCCAGTAACGCTGAAGTTGGGGGCTGGCACAGGAGGCACCTTCCGCTCTTATATATCATTCTGCAGACTGTGTTGCACTGGGCCCAAGACGTCGTACGGCTTCGAGGCAGAAATTACTCGGATCTGGTTCTCAGGGTTTGGTGTGTAAGGATGTGAGGGAGATTGAAGTTGTTGTTTCTGTCTTTATACGGCCCGCTTATGATCCAATCTACTGAACCGCCCTGTCCTGCAGGTGGTTATGCAAGTGCCGAAAACACTACCGTACGACAAACTCGGGGTGTGCTTGCTCACGCCTTCTGATTCCTCAGTTGGGACTCCATGGGGGGCCTGGCGGATTCTCGCACTTCCCTCCCTGTCCACCATGCCGGAGTGAGGGTAGGCTTCGGTGTTTTGGAGCTTTTGGTTTTCAGGTTTGGGGCCTGGGGTTTTTATTTAGGGGGCTTGGATCTTAGGGTTGAAGACTTTGAATCCAAGGTCTCGGCTTCGGGGTTCTGGGCAGTTCTGGGTTGAATTTATTAAAAAGGCATCTTCCTGCGCAGCGGCTGATAATCTTTGCCAAGATGGCGCCACCTCAGACTAGTGCAGGGCGGACGGGAAATTCAGGGTAAGATTTTGGGGTTTGGGTTTCAATGAGGGGGCGAGCTGGTGCTGCACACTGCGCGTGACGAACCGGCCAGTGCTCCACCCTAATCGCGACTGTTTCCGGTTTGGGGCGCTGGGTGGCTGTCGCACGGGGCACCTTGGCCAGCACACGACACAAACAAACCGCATTGTGTGGTCGTTCGCCCCGTTGCTCAAGATTGAAACGGTTGAACCGAGGGCCGTAAAACTTTAAATCCCGAACCCTTAAACCCTAAACCCCATTGAACCCTTCTTACAGGCCAGGCCATGCCGAACTTGCACCCGTCTGAAGCCTCGGCGTCTCCCTGCGTAGCCGGTGCCATGGCGTCATTGTGAGTTTGGGGTTTTGAGATTTGGGGGTTTAGGGCTTGGGGGTTCATGTCGTAGGGATCTAGAACTCAGGGCTTAGGGCTTTCGGATTTCTTGTTTTGGGATGTGGAAGGCTTCGCTCGCAAAGCTACCACCATCACGACGAGTGCTCTTATTAGCTATGATGTCAATCTTAATATCGGACAGGCGAGATGGCCCAAGAGCCCAAACCGCCACAAAACAGGTTGCTTAGGGCTTGATGCTAAGCATATCCTAAAGCCGACGTCCCTAATGCACTCCATTGTGGACTGAGGGTGATGATGATGATGGTGATGCTGAAGCTGATTGTTCGGAATGCTTGTCTCTAGCTAGGTTATTGTTATGCCCCATTTGGAGCTTCTGCCAACTCGTGTTATCGAAACCTGCATGGCTTCTCCGCTGCTCTTCTTGATCTCCCTTACGCCGGCTGTGGCTGCGGTTGGAGGATACACACGGTATGATGCACACAGCATGTGTCATGTGCCCGTCGTGATTTATAGCATACTTATTTATTCTGAAGTAATTCTACAGAGACTATGAGGGTATGCTACCCATTATTTCTATCCCTACATTAAACGCCCCAGAAAGGCTAAACCATACTAAACCCGAACATGGTTAAATGCCCCAGGCTATACTGTAAGCTCTAAAGACCATAGCTAAAGTACCCGATGCCACACTCCCCAACCCTAAACCCCAATCCCAACACCTGAAAATACAGATCCGAAAGCCCGAATTCTTCGCAGCCTAAACCGCCATCGGCGCTAAGCAGCACGTGAGAGCCCAACCCTAAACCCAAAAGCCCGAAACTCGGAAACCTTAAAACCCATGAACCTTCAACCCTAGCACCTTGAACTCCAAAATTGGTGTGGTGGTCAGTGATTTTGGGCATGGGGATAAAGGAAAGGTTCTCCAAAAACCCTATCACATGACGGTACCCTGCTTTTCTGCTCTTCAACCTGAAAAGGAGACCCGAGGCCTGGGTCTGAAACCTATACAACAAATGGGAGTTCCCGAAAATTAGGGTATCCTATTTGGGGGTCCTTATAATAAGGATCCTACTATTTAGGGTACTATATTGGGGTCCCCTATTTTCTGAAACCCCCAAATGATAGACAGTAGTACTACTGCCGTCCTGGAAGGGGTTCTACAAACAGAGGAGAGATTCTGCGAGAGAGCCCTGCAACAAGGCTGCCTCAACTACACTCGGGTTTACGGGTTGAGGGTTTCGAGGTAGGCTTCTGGGATTTCGGGTTTCTACTGCACCCATCATGCACTTCTATGACCCCTTGCTTCCGAAGCGCCACAACTTCACCCCAAAACCCTAGCACCCGAACTTTGAGTTAAACCCTACTGAAGCCTTGAATCCTCAATCCAGTGCTTAAGAACCTCAGCTTTCAGCCGGTCTGGTCAGGTGCATCATCGGAGTCTTTGGGATGGGCTGCACTGAAGACGATGTGCCTCCTATGTCCAGTCTTGGGTCTGTGATAAATCTGTCAGTAGCCGCAGTAGCCCTCGGTTCTAGGTATCTTCTGTGCCTGTGAGGGCGCGGAAGTGAGCTGAAGCTCATGAGGCACCTTCACAACCATAACGGCGAACAGTTACTGTGTAACATAGTTGACGATAGCAGCAAATACGTACCCTAGCTAGTTGTGCATTCTAAGCGGGCCAAAGCATTAGTCGTCGCCGTAGTCGTCGTCGTCGTCCTAGTCGTAGTCGTAGTCGTGGTCGTGCTCGTGGTCGTGCGTTTTTGTGCGTGGTCGTGGTCGTCGTCTTCGTCGTCGGTGTCGTCGTAGTGTTAGTAGAACAACAACAACAATAACAACAACAACAACAACAACAACAACAACAACAACAACAACAACAACAACAACCAACAACCAACAACCAACACCAACACCAAGACCAAGACCAAGACCAAGACCAAGACCAAGACCAAGACCAAGACCAAGACCAAGACCAAGACCAAGACCAAGACCAAGACCAGGACCAAGACCAAGACCAAGACCAAGACCAAGACCAACACCACCACCACCACCACCAACAACAACAACAACAACAACACCAACACCAACACCAACAAAAAAAACCACCACCACCACCACCACCACCACCAACAACAACAACAACAACTACTACTACTACTTCTTCTTCTAGCACTACTACTACTACTACTACTACTACTACTACTACTACTAGTACTACTTCTACTACTACTCTACTACTACAACTACTCCTGCTGCTGCTGCTGCTGCTGCTGCTGCTGCTACTTCTACTTCTACTACCACTACTACGACTACTATTATAAAAGCAGATATAAGACTGATAATACTGGTCGCACTCATCGTCGCGTGGCGTTTCCGCTGCTTGCGGTGGTAGCGGCAGCGGCACTCAGCTGCATTAGCCAAGGGTCAGTTCCAGGTCCACGATATTCGCATGAAATCTTCTGAAAACCCTGGTCCAAGACTTGATCGGTCACGGAGGCACAGCCTCGAACTTCCAGTGCCACAGGCCCATGGCTTGCGATTAGGAAGCTTTGTCCTGTTCAAGCAGCGCTTCCGAAGGCACTTCATCTTTTACCTTAAACACTCAAGCAATATAGCTTGCATGGCTGGTTCAGTTCGTGAGAAGACCTGCGTAGTGAAACGCAATGCCGAGGGATTCGTGCTGCAAGGGGTCCTCTTTGGGGCTTGGTTGAAGCTGGGTTCTGATTCTGACGCACACACATTCATATTGGTGTCTTTACGAGGGTGCCTTGTCTTTTGAGGAGATAGCACTTGCACGGGTGAACACTACAGTCGGGAGTGGGAGGCCTTATTTCAACTCTGGTCGTAGGCGTCCAGTGGTAGGCCGATATTCGAGTAGTAAAGTGCAAAGAAAGCTGTAAACCGTGGCTGCCCAATGGAGGCACCGCCTATATGCTCATGGAACGCCAGAGAGCAGTCAGCGCGGAAATGGAGATTAAAATTTACTAGGCGATGCCTCGAGGTGCTGTTGAAGCAGGTCTTGAGTTCAGCTTCCAAGATCCGTGGGGCGCAGGCGGCGCTTTGAGTTCAGCATCTTCGAGCTTAGGGTTTATGGCGGTTGACGTTTGCGGGAGGCTGACAGCAAGCTAGGAAAGTTGTCAGTGCG